TCACTTTTCGCATATGAAATGTGGAGGTAATTGCCAGCTACCCCACAGGGATACTTAACTGATGTGAAGAAAACACTGAGCATTGTTGAAGGAAGATGCTTTGAAGACTTAGGGGGTTTCTCATTCTTTTGAGTAGCTGCTCCTCATGAAGAGTTTTTTGGAAAGAGGATCTATTGAACTTGTTAATTCCACTGTAATTTCCTTCACATGTGTATTCCGGGAGCAATTATATAAATCCACATCCTGTTGCTTCCTTTCCTGCTGATGTGGAGGAAAATCCACCCATTCGTTTTTCCATTGTTTTACTCATCTATATTGAAAGGAAAGTGACAGTTGAGTATGTTAAAGGACATTATGATTCGAGATTGTCTAGGTTACATTTCAGCCATCAAGCCACTTGGATTTGCATATGTCATCTATCACTGTGATGCCAGGGTGCTTAAAACTACCTGGACACTAATAATGCTTATTTGTGGCTTCCATGGTTTGTGTTGGAGTAAAGTGGTCTATTTTCCTTACATGTTAAATTTGTGAATTCTAATTATGCCTTCATGAGTATTAAGACAGTGCCTGTTCCGTTTTGTTTTTCAAAGTTACTTTTGCATTTCTGGAAGTATATAAGGAAAAGTTTGGAAATCTAGTATTGAATGATTAAATGCCTACTAACTGCCTTGTTCTGTTCTAGCCATATGTATTATTTTATCTAATCTTTACAAAAATATGTGAGCAAACTGCGGCTCTCTAAGTGATCAGGCATAGGAAATTTTAATGATTCCTATAAATTTGCATAACTAGCAAGTAGCAAAACTCTTATCCTAGAAGTCTGGGAGCATGGGCTCCAAGTTAAAAAAATGTTTGTGATATAGTAAACATTTGTCCCCCAGCCTGCTTTCTAGGCCCTAGAGAGGTTGTGTTTATGTTCTTTAAGAAACGTAGGTCACTAGAGGGTATTATGCTAAGCGAAATAAGTCAATCAGAGAAAGACACGTATCATATAATCTCACTGATATGAGGAATTCTTAATCTCAGGAAAGAAATAGGGTTGCTGGAGTGGAAGGGGGTCGGAGGGATGGGTTGGCTGGGTGATAGACACTGAGGAGGGTATGTGCTATGGTGAGCGCTGTGAATTGTGTAAGACTGATGAATCACAGACCTGTACCTCTGAAACAAATCATACGTTATATGTTAAAAAAAGAAGAAGATAGTAGGAGGGGAAAAATGAAGGGGGGGGAATTGGAGGGGGAGATGAACCATGAGAGACTATGGACTCTGAGAAACAAACTGAGGATTCTAGAGGGGAGGGGGGGTGGGAAGATGGCTTAGCCTGGTGATGGGTATTAAAGAGGGCACATTCTGCATGGAGCACTGGGTGTTATACGCAAACAATGAATCATGGAACACTACATCAAAAACTAATGATGTAATGTCTGGTGATTAACATAACATAATAAAAAAATTAAAAAAAAAAAAGAAGGAAACGTAGGTCACAGTATCCCCTGCTTTTATAAGTCCCTCTCTGTCAGAACCTAATAAACACTCAGCAGTAACTGTAACAGCACCACCCCCAAGGCCAGAAACAGGAAAACAAGTAGCTGACCTTCCCTGAGCATTAACCTATGTCCCAGAAACTGTCCTTAGCACTTTATACATATTAGCCTATTTAATGCTTAAAATAACTCCTTGAGGTGTGCATACCTCTATTATCCCCATTTTATTGAAAAGGAGACAAAGTTTGAGGTAATTGCCCAAATCAGTTTTGGAACTGGAGTATGAACCCAGGGAGTGGGGCACCCATGCTCTATTGTCCCACACTTACACCACACTTCTCAGTAAGTATTTGTTGTACTAAAATTCTGAGTTGGAAACTAATGAAACCAATTCAGATTAAGTTAAACGGAAAAGGTGTCTATTGGGCGGACATAGAGTAGCTCACTGAGTCAGTAAGAAGCCTGGAGAACCAGGCTTGGAAAACAAGCAGGACCACGAAAGACTGGGGCACAGAGAACACGGCCGGATGTGCCACGGGAAGAGTGGTTATGAGGCCACTCCTGGGGCTGCCACCACTGGCTGGTGGCCCCTGGGTCATGTGCTGTTGGATCTGCTGCCATCGGTGATCCCGCAGTAGTAATACTAATGAACATCCTGACTGCACTGTCATCTTAGCATCACTCAGGAAGATTCAGAGGCCCAGGTAGAAGCATTTGCTTGATGGAATCCAGGTCACATTATACAAAGGACAGGTTTGGTATATACTTTTTGATTGAATTGTTCTGGTATACTCTGGGCAGAATAGTAACAGGAAAGAAAATGACAAACAACTTTCCAGGGTGGAACTCTAAAGATTAAGGTACTTGCTCAGAAAAACTGGACCCTGCTATGTGGTGGAATAGGTCAGTAAAATGATTTGAGGAGTTGGCAGGTAGAGAATGAGAAGGCACTGGGTTACGTATTTGTTTAAATCCAGTTACCCTCCGAGTGACCAGTTTGGATCATGGATTACAGAGCATCACTTGGTGGCTGATGATTGAGTCATAAAATACATCTTTTTTTTTTTTTTCCTAGTTAATTTTAACGGTAGATGAAGAAATTGACTGGGTATCAAAAGGTGATACTTTTTAGAAAAGGGCTGATGGTTTTGTTCATAAATATGATCAGGATCACTGTTTTAAGAATTTTGTACAGATCAGACTTCACCTCCACAAATGTTGTAATAAAACATTTTCAAGCCTTATCTGATGACTCACTGGTTGTAAGCACTAATCCATATAACAAGATTTTGGTCCAGTACAAGGAGTTGGGTCAGGCCATGAATAAGATTTGGTTTTTATCACACAACATTTAATTGAAACTCATTTTCCTAGAATTCTGAGCTTAAGAGTCATGGTTAAACTTTCTGAGTGCTTACAATCAGCCAGACAACGTGTAGAGCATTTTGTATATATCTTCCCTTTTAATCCTCATAATAACCCAATAAAGTATTATTATTGACACTTCAAGGAGGGGACTGAGGCTGAGAGAATAACTTGCCCAAGGTCAAGCAGGAAGGGATGGAGTTGGGTTTTAAATCCACATTTGTCTGACTCTCGAGCCTGCTTTTGATCGCAGTGCTGTACTGTGGAAGAAAAATCATTAATTAAGTCTCAGGTTAACTCTGGGTTAGCATTCTTGAATTTTCAGATCAAGAGATTTCCTTGTCACCAGTTCTTAGCGAACAACTTTCTGTTTTTAGATTCAGTAACTCGAAAAATGTCATTCCATCCAAGATTTGTTCCCTGAGTTAAAAGAGTATAAATTGTTATTGCCACTTAGTCTTTGCTGTCTATACCATCCTCACACGTTTTCATATTGGATGTTGGGTGAGATGACTTCTCACGGTTTGGGGAGGATGGGCAGGGTGAGGTAGTCAGTGTGGCATCTGAGATCATCTCTAATGCTCCAAACCACTGATTACTAGGGATTTGTGAAAATACTCAGTCCTTTCTTGAAAAACCTTCTGTGGGTGCCATCTCTTGACAGTGACAAACACTAAAATTTGCCAAGCACCCTGTAATAGAATATTTGCTTTTATTTGTGTTCAGTTTTCACTTTGAGCTTCAAGTTAAGTTCAGGTTTTCTAGGATTGGGAAGCCAGGTTTTCTTCACCTTCTTATAATTTTCATGGTTTTGACTGAGTTTGCTGACTTGTGACTAATTTTTAGTATTTTACATGTACTTTAATAAACCTGTGAATTAAGGAAGTCTCATGTCCACATTAAAAACTGCTTACCCTAACCCTAACCCTTATTATGAATGTTTCTTTCCTGCTCAATTTCGTCCATGTGCTTATTTCCTACAAAATATGCACATATACGGAGGAACAAAAAAGCCCTGATAGTCCTGTTAGTGTGGTAATAGCCCAAGTTCAAGGAATGAGTGCAGCTGACCTGATGCAGGGTCAAAGCCAAAATCCACTGGTATCATGACAGAAGACTATGTTAAGTAATTTTTCAAAAATTTCATACTCATTAAACTGATTTTGTTTACTAAAAGTCTGTCAGTTTTGTTTGAATATGAAATGTTTTCCCCCTTGATTCTTTTTTTGTGGTTGAGTATAGTTTTGCGTTTTTCTTTGGTGTCTGTATATATATATATTTTTTAAAGATCTTATTTATTTATCAGAGAGAGAGAGACAGAGGCAGGCAGAGGGAGAAGCAGGCTCCTTGCTCAGCAAGGAGCCCGATGTGGGACTTGATCCCAGGACTCTGGGATCATGACCTGAGCCAAAGGCAGACGCTTAACCGTCTGAGCCACCCAGGCATCCCTGGTGTATGTATATTTTTAATCAAGCTGCTTTCAGGGTGCAATGTGGAGCCCTCAAAAGCCAGATTTGGTACTGGGTTCAGGGGTTAATAGATTCAAGACTGCACCTGCGAGTCTCTCTACAACTGGCTTTGTGCACATACATCCAGCATACCTGGCTAGGCTCGATGCTTTTTTGTCAGATATTTAGACACATGCCCTGGCAGATAGTGGGGAAGGTGGTTATGTCTTTATTGTCATTAGCAGAGCTCTCAGGAAAGGCCTGCTTTAGATTCTAACAAGAGAACTTATTATGTGAATGGAAGAATTAATAAGGACCTGAGGATTTTTTTTTTTTTTTAGTTTGCAAAGTGGGACACCCCCATATATGATAGATGAATGTCTTTTTTCTTGTAACATATGGGAGAGGTAGAAATTATTTGTAATTTGCATGTCATTAGAACGATACTTAAAAAGCTGCGTGGCTCTGGACCTTGGGCAGGGGCTTAGAAAGTTCCACGGTAGCAAACTAAGCATTTCTTATAATGGGATGTGAACGGCAACAGAATGCTGTAGGCGATATTAAATTGGGGTGATTTTTAGAAAGTGACAAATGTTTTATGTTTCCTAAATCCGAGATGGGTTCTACCAGCTGCACATGGCTGCCAAGTTATGTTATCACTTGCCTGCTTTGTAACTGCTTCAATTCCTTCCTCCCCCAGCCCTGTATGATGAGATTCGTCAGTTTCGCAAGGCCTGTGGGGAGGCTCATCTCAAAACCATCTTAGCAACAGGAGAACTTGGATCTCTTACTAATGTCTATAAAGCCAGTATGATAGCAATGATGGCAGGTAAGTGTTCTATATTCAAATGACGATATCTATTGAATTGATGTTTTTAGGGGAAATAAGTAAGCTAAAATATTTGGCTATTAGCTAAAACATGCTAACCACTTGGAAATTTGGGTGGGAGGACCCAGATATTTTGTGAATACGTGTACAGTGTGAAGTGGTCACAAACTTGGCTTTCTTGCACGTTTTTTGTGGCATTTCATCGCTGCACTATCCTTGTAAGACAGTAGATGGCTCTCTTGTTAGTGAATTGCCTTCTTGTTGCTCTTTGATTATTCATTCATCAACATATGTTAGACAGGAATTTCTTTAACTCTGACTTATTTCTCCCTGTGAATTTAAGTGTTTGATTTTTCTCAGAGATGTGTATCTATACTGGTTCAGGCAGCCTGTGCTTTTGTTTGTGTTAATTTTTCTTTTAAATGTGGCGCAGTATCATTGCTTTTTATACTTTGAAATGCAGGTTGACTTACTCTTTATCTCCTTGAACAGCAGGCCTGTCCATTCATACATCCAAGCTTGAAACCTGGGAGTCAGACTTGATTCCTTCTTTTCCTCATCTTCCCCTAAACCAGCGAATGAGTCTGGAGAACTCTACCTCTTCACTGTATCTAACACATCATCTCTGCATCCTGCGTGCTCCCTTCTCTGGCCATTGCCGTACCCCACACGCATCACTTCAGTCTCCTCACTGCTCTCCCCTGTCTCCGCTTTTGTCCCCTTCCAATCTGTTTCCCACACAATTGCCAGAATGGTCTCTTAAAAATGCTAATTGGGTTTTGGTCCTGCTTGCTTAAAATCCTTCGGTGGCTTACGGTGCCTCTGGACCCAGCTGGAGACAAAGGAAGATACCTGTGCACCTGTCCACTTGAGCTCATATTTGCCAGCAGGGCACCTCAGAAGCCGGTGAGCTTTATGTAATCTTGCCACCAAAGGATTCTTTTAAATGTGAAGGTGTAGGGCAAATGAGAGAGGTGACGGAGGGGAGCAGCCTTCTTTTCAGCAAGATGTGAGGGAAATATAATTCACTTCCATAAATAAGAAACAACACACACACAAGGTCTTCACCAGAAGCTGCACCCTCCACCCCCTGCCCCCACTCTCACATCACTGTCAGAGAGTCAGGGTCACCACAAGCCTCACCCGGCCTGCCCACTCAAAAAACAACAACAAAAAATCCTTCAGTGGCTTCCCTTAATCGTCAAGGTAAAATGTAAATTCCTTCAGCCTGATTTTAAGAAAAGGTCCTTCTTGGGGTGCCTGGGTGGCTCAGTCGTTAAGCGTCTGCCTTCGGCTCAGGTCATGATCCCAGGGTCCTGGGATCGAGCCCCACATCGGGCTCCCTGCTCGGCGGGAAGCCTTCTTCTCCCTCTCCCACTCCCCCTGCTTGTGTTCCCTCTCTCGCTGTGTCTCTCTCTGTCAAATAAATAAATAAAATCTTTAAAAAAAAAAAAAAAGAAAAGGTCCTTCTTAAGACCCTGCCTGTGCCTCCACAGGCTCCTCATTTCCCCTTCACACCATATGCTCCAGCTCTATGAAATTCCTCATAGTTCTCTGCTGATGGTACCCTCCAAACCTTTCAAGGCTTCCTACGTGCTGTGGCCCCTGCCTGGAATGCCTTTTGCCCAAGTAGTTCCTTCACATCTTTGGCTTCAGCACAAGTGTCCCTTCTTTCAAGAGTATTTCCCCAATACTGCTTCCTCCCTCACCACTTGGTTCAGTATCTCTTCTGTGTGCCTACGTAACATTCTGTTGAAACCTCTGTCAGATGAAATATCCCACTATCGTGTGATCGAGTCCTGAATTTCGAGGTGCCCTACCAGTGGCTCTGCACGTGGGTGAAGATACCTAAGTTCTCAGGTCTTCAATCTGGGCCTCTATTGTAGTCCCCCTCTAGATTTTTAGACTCGTGTACTTTTTGAGTCTTGTCAGACTAGCTTCATTCCCTGGGGCTCTACTGAAAATCAGCCTGCTAGGCATTCATGAAGCTATTGCTGTGCTCATTGCCCCTGTATCCAGATGATCTCTGCTCTGGTTGTCTCATTTCGAGCACAGTCTCTGAAAATCTAAGGTGAGGAATGGAACACGTTAAACAGTGGGTCATCTGTGATGTTGGCATTTCAAAGGTCCACAATAATAGAAGCCTCACTGCAGCTCTTATGAGCCTGGGTGAAGCCCCCTGAGTCCTAAGTACACAGGTAACTCCCTTTTCATGCTCCTTGCCGGGACAAGGGATTGTTAGCCTAGAGTGCTGTGATCTAGGTCGCAATGAAAGTATGTTCATTCTGGGAGGTCAGCCAACCCTGTCCTCCTCACTGCACCTACTGCTCATGATAGGAACGTGGTATTTAGGTCATCATTCCAGGAAGTTCCTCTTCTACCCTCTGCCCCACCCACCAACAGAAAAAAAAATGTGAGTAGGTACATGCTCTCCCCTGTCTCTTCCTGTCTGCTTGGATCCCTGTCCATGTTGTTCCTTATCTCTTTCATTTCTTCACTTAAGCAGTGTCTGTTGAGTACTTAACTATGGGTAATAAAACTTGTATTTGTGGCGTGCTTTACCAGATGCTTTAAAATAATATTCCTTAATCTGCACATCAACCCTGTGGTTGATAAAGAAACTTAAAAAGTGACTTGTCTAAGGTCACAAAGCTGATAGACCACAAAGAGTCATTATTTGAACCCAGGTCTTCTGGCTCCAGGAGTATTGCTTTCTCAGCTGTAACACAGCTGTCTCCCAGGGCACTGTGCTTGACCTTATAATGAGTTAAAGACATACACAGTCTTTGCAAGGTATAATAAGTGAAAGCATCCAGCATACTTCCTGGCCCATAGTTTCTGGTTCCTATTCTCTTAAGAAGGTATATAATAGAAATGAGGTATGTTTTGAAGAATTTTTAAAAATTTTCGACTAAATTTACATTTATATAAGTTACAGCTCTACTTTGGCATTTTTAATTGATTTTTTTCCCCTTAAAAATCAACTGCATTGAGGTAAATTTATACACATTGAGGTGTTAAGTCTCCAATGTGATGACTTACAATTTGTATTTTTCATCATCCCCAAAATATCCTTTGTGCCCCTTTGCTTTCAGTTCCACTCTTTTTACTTCTGCCCTAGCTGCAATCAGTGCTCTGATTTTATCACTATAGATTGACTTCGCCAGTTTTAGAACATCGTATAGTTATACAGTATGTACTCTTTTGTGCTTGTTCTCCTTCCACCCCCAAGATAATAGCTGTGAGATCTATTCATGTTGTTCTGTGTATAAGGAGTTTGCTTAGGGGTATTCCATTGTACAAATATACTGAGTTGCCAAACTTACTGATATAAAGTTCATAATATTCTGATGTCTATAGGGTCTGTAGTTATACCTCCTTTTTTTACTTCTGGTGTGTCATTTTTGTTTTCTTTCCTGTTGTTTCTTTCTTTCTTTCTTTTCCCTTTTTTTTTTTTTTTTTTTGGTAGAAGAGTTTTGCTAGAGGTCTGCAATTTTATTAATCTTTTCAAAGAGCCAATTTTTTGCTTTGCTGTTTTTTCATTGTCATTGAGTTAAAAATACTTCTAATTTCCCTTGTGATGTCTCTTGATATTTAGAACGTTTTTAGAGTATTATTTAGAATAAACCTTTACACTGGCACACCTAAATACATAAAGCAAATAGTAACAGACATAAAGAGAAATCGACAGAATATTTAATTTCCCAGTATTCTGTGCTTTTCTGGATATCTTATTGTTATTGACGTATAATTTAAAATTCTTTTATGCTCAGGGAATATCCACTGTAAAAATCTTTTGTCTTTTGAAATTGAAGAAATTTATAGGCCATTTTTATGGTATATTTAAGTATAAATACACTTCAGGTGCACTTGGAAAGAATGTCATGTATTTGCAGATATTAGTGGTAGTATTCTGTTAATATCAAGTAGGTCAAGTTGGTTGATCATATTTTTCAGATTTGGTTTTGTTTTATTTTGTTTGGTCTACTTATTCTATTTATTATCAAGAGGACGGGGTGTTAAAGTCTCCAAATATGATTGTAGATTTGTCTACTTATCCCTTTAGTTTTGTCAGTTTTTTCTAAATGTATTTTGGAGCCTTCATATTAAGTATATACACTTTTAGGATTGTTATGTTTATCGTTGAATTAGTGCATTCATTATGACATGTCCCTTTTTATCTATGGTACTAGTCCTATCTGAATGTCTACTTTGTCTGGTATTAATCTAACCATACCAGCTTTCTTGTGTGTTTCCTACCATTTGCATGGCATATCTTTTTTCTATCTTTTTTTTTTTTTTTTAAAGATTTTATTTATTTATTTGAGACAGAGAGAATGAGAGATAGAGAGCACATGAGAGGGGGGAGGGTCAGAGGGAGAAGCAGGCTCCCCGCCGAGCAGGGAGCCCAACGCGGGACTCGATCCAGGGACTCCAGGATCATGACCTGAGCCGAAAGCAGTCGCTTAACCAACTGAGCCACCCAGGTGCCCATTTTCTATCTTTTTTTATGAAAAAAAAATATATGTGTGAAATCTATAACCCATCTTTGGTTATATATTTAAAGCCATTTCTTGTAGGCTTTTTTTTTAAGGCTTTTTTTTTTTAATCCATTGTGAGAATCTGTACTTTTTAATTAGAATGTTTTGTTCATTTTCATTTCACACAATTTTTGATATGATAGGAGTTAAGTCAGTCATCTTGCAGTTAGTTTCCTATTTGTTCTGATCCATTTTTTGTTTTGTTTTTTTCCTGCTACCTCTTGGGTTCATTAAATATTTGATAGCACTTCATTTTATTTTATTTTATTTATTTATTTATTTTTGTTGGCTTTTTATCTACAGCCTCTTTGTACTTTTCAAGCACTTGCTCAATTATAATATGCATCTTTAACTTACCACAGTTTACATAGATTTAATATTATTCTATTTACATTTCATGTGTCATGAATGTAAGAACCTTAACAACAGTTGCGTTTACACTCTCTTTAGTCCTTTGAA